CATTCAACTTTGGGGAACGTGAATTCAGTGTATCAGACATCTATCTAGCAGATTGAGGGTTATCATATTTTCCTTATATCATTGGGAGGTCCTATATTATCCCTATGTCATTACATTGCCTTCCAGTTCCATAACTATATGTTATGTTACTAGCGCCTGCTGTCATTACATTTTTAAATAATTTGCTTAAATCACTAGTTTTTGGCTTAGTCAGTTGATTACCTTCCAAGAAAGACAGGCTGCCTCATTTCTGAGCACCCCACTCTGCTCTCAGTGCACTCTACTTCTACCGCTGGTAAACTCTTCTCACAACTTTCACCGATGCATTGGGAAAATTCTTAACAGAAGTCAACCAACCTGAAAACTTACTTTAAAAGGGTGGCTCAGGTTCCTCATTTCAGCGGACCCTGAGACCCAGCCCCGTGACATTTATCTTGGCAACCCAGAGGGGACCTAAAAAAGAGACATGGAAACTGCAGAGATCTCGACTTTGGTTTGTTTATAGGTCTTTTAAGATGTAGGACTTTAAAAAAAAAAAAAGATGTAGGACTTGAGGAAAACATCTTATCATACTAGCTGGGTGTGGTGGGGCACACCTGTAACCCCAGAACTCAGGAGGCTGAAGCAGGAGGATCCTTGCAAGTTCGGGGCCAGCCTGGGCTACAAAGTGAGCTCAAGGTCAGCCTGAACTGCATAGCGAGACCCTGTCTCAAAAAGAAAAAAAAAAAACCTTATCATACTGATGAGCTCCAAACTAAAGCTGTTCATGATGATGGACTTTTTCCGACTTTTAAAAGATGATGAGGGGCTGGGGATTTAGCTCAGCGGCAAAGCGCCTGCCTGGCAAGTGCAAGGTCGTGAGTTCGGTTCCCGGTACCGGAGAAAAACCAAAAAAATAAAAAAAATTAAAAAAAAATAAAAGATGATGGTTCTTCAAAAGATGGAACCTGATATTCTGTCCCCTTCAGGTCAGGACCAGACTTTTGGTCGCTGGCTAAGCAGGATCAACACCCCTCCTCAGCCTGAACCAGTTACTGAAACTTCTGCACTCCCTTGAGGATAAGGGACCATGATGCGTGTGTGTGTGTGGTGTGTGTGTGTGTGTGTGTGTGTGTGTGTGTGTGTTAGGATAGAAGAAATAAAGCTAGGTAAAAAGGAGACAAGGAAATCAAGACTTTAAAAATTGTACTTTTAAAGGAAAACTCTAGCTTCAGGATACGAACTCAGTTGTTGCTGTTTTCTTCCTTTCTCCGAACAGCAAACTGGGCTCCTCCCTTTCGGCTACAAACAGGTCTGCCCATTCCCCTTTTATTTGCAAGGAGTCCTCTTTCACCCAAGAATGAACCTCCACTTTGGGATTTCCCATATAAATAGACCGCTATCTTTCTATGAGTGGACCTTTCTCTCCCACCCACTAGACAAGACTAAGATTATAGATTAAATTCCACAGACACAGTAGCACAGGCCTGTAATCCCAGCACTCAGAGGAGGCTGAGGTCCTAGTGACATAGGACCTCCAGACGATATAAGAGAAATTATTCTAACTCCCAACCTGCTAGAGGTACAATAAGCTGAGTTTGTGTGTTCCCAAAATCAAAGACTTCTAAGCAACTATAGAGTTTAAAAGAGTAGGAAATTTTAATGAGGGAGAGACAGCTCCTGAGTGACACTAGGGGGCCCAAGTGGGCTGCCAATGAGTCTACTTCTCAAAGGAAGTTTTACAGAGCAAAATCATGAGGTGGGTCATGGGACAAAACTATGATCAACAGAGGATTACAAGTACAGCTGCTTAGGTAATATTGATCCAATGGGGAAGTAAGTCGCATAGCAAGTGTACATGGAAAGAATAAGGACCTTTTTGGGAAGAGATGGGTCATGGGGTCCTGGTCACCACCTGGGTGACTGCTGTTTATCTAGACTTTATTGGACCAGGATCCTTGCAGAGGCCTGTAGGCCTGATCATGTTTTTAAAGCCACAGTTGTAATGTGTTCTCATCCTCTGCACTGACTCCCGCGAGGGCCGAGCCATCTGACTACCGTCTGTTTCTACCTAACTTAGCTGCCTATAATAGGAGGATCACCAAGAGCCAGCCTGAACTACACAGCAAAACAAAACAGAACAAAAATAAGACAAAATAAATTCTAGACTCCCACCACCCAAAACACAGAAAAGATCCCAGTTCCTATCTGTATCATGCTTTATTTCTCCAAGCACTCACATCTGGCTTTTGAGTGTCCCATATCTCTACCTCTGCTAAGGCCTTTTCATGTCTCTTAAAAAAAAAAAAAAATGATAGCATCCACTGCCATTGTTTTCCAACTTACCTTCCCATTTCTTTTCTCTTTCCATTTCCCAGTATAGGTTTACAAAATTATTCAAATTAAGTAGCATAACTGAATCATCTGCAGTTTGTTTACACATTGGAAAACATTTATAATGTAGACTCCTTGGAAATTGAGTAATTAGATCCACTGAGTCCAACAATTTATATTATGATAATATAAACAGCTTCACTATGAATTGAGTAATTAGATCCATGAAAGAAAATTTTCCTGGGAAAAATTTCAAGTGTCTGAAGTTCATGCTTAATTTCTAACTTCATTTCTTCAGCAGGGTCCTTTACTTCTTCAGTCAGCTCCTTGTCTTGTTCCCATGCTGTACCTTTTCTTATACATTGTAGTTTTAAACATATAAAACATATGTGGTAGTAATTCTGAGTTTCTGCATTTTCAAAAATGCCTTTATTTTGATCTCAATCTTGTATTAATAATCTACATGTTTAATTATAGGTTCAGAAGCATTTTCCTCCAGACCTTTGAAATTATTCCTCATTCATTTTAGCACCTGGTACTATTTTTCAGAAGTCTGGCTAACCACCTCTTCATAGGGAAACATTTTTTGATCACATTTCCCCCCACCAGACGATACTCATTACTCTGCAACTCTTCCCCATAACAACTGGACACAATGTGGACCGTGTACATCATTACTATCACGAACAACTCTACAAGTTGCTTTTCTAAGCCAGGTGTATTCAGTTCCTCTGCCATGTTCCCCCTACCTGAATCCCTGTCACCCTTCTGTAATGATTTATTTTTTGATGTCGTTGGGGGTTGGGAGAGAAAAGAATCCTTTGCCTTTGCATACAACAGGAGACCATCTCACCATTTCCCTGGCACTTACCAGAAACTCTATTATAAAGGTTTACATAATAAATAAGACCAATAATTTTTTTACTTACACATATGCAAAGTAAAAAATTTAAATTCTAGAAAGACTCAAGTATTTTGATCTAATCCCATTCACCTCTTTATTTTGTAGACATAGCCAGTGGGTATTTCACAAAGATAGGTTTATATGAGTATGCATCTGTTCTATATAGCTGAATCATTAGTCAACTTTAGAACCAGTTTGACACCACTAATACTAGTCCAAAGTGCAAATGATTATTAGAATGATATGGCCCTTGGTCTAATAATTTGACTTCTGCTTGTAAATATTGTCTTATTTTAGAAATTCAATTTAGTAACATTTTAATAATGACTTTTTTCTTGGGACAATAAAGGCATTTTACTTTATACTCTCATAATTTGCTTGCTTGGAGTTATTATAGGTATGAGTCCTGAAGAAATAACGCTAGGTTACTGAAGTAGCTAGAGCAATAATCAAATGAAAAGCATGTTGGTGAAATACTACAGGTTAAAGAAAAATACAACGGGCCCTGATAGGATGAACTTTTCCAATCACAGCTTGCCCATAGCTAATGGGACAAGTATTAGCATAGTATGTGCTATCTTCCTTGCTTTATGTAGATTCAAATATTTGTGATGACATAAATTTCCACTGTTAGCCTAGTAACTGCCAAACTTTTATTGTGGCACACTTGGATATTATTAGGGGTAACTGGCAAAAATGGTTCCACTGCCTGGTAAGCTTGGCAGACAACACTGGCACTCTACCAGATAATCACAACATTAATTAGCATATTGAAAGCTCTAAACTTATTGTCTTAGTCTATTCAGACTGATACAACACAATACCATGAGCTAGATGGCTTATATAAAAAAAATTTTACTTCTCACAGTTGTGGAGGCTCAGAGGTCCAAGATGAAGGCCTAAGCAGATTTGCCGTCTAGTGAGAGCCAGCTTCCTGGTTCACTGACAGTTGTCTTTTTACTCTAATCTCACAACTTGGAAAGGCCCAGTGGTCTCTCTCTGGCTTCTTTTATAAAGGCTCCAAACCCATTCAAAGTCTTTTTATGACCTAATCACCTCCCACAGGCCATAAATGACATCACCTTGGGAGTGATCTCAATGTATAAAATTTTGGAGGGACGTGAAAATTCAGCTTTTACTCCCCACCTATAATACCACATTAACAAGGTTCAAACATTACTGCATTAATACAGTACTGTATTACTGTATGAATTTTTTAGAACATTTTTCCCACAGCATATAAACATACTATAGCACACCATTCTGAAGAACAAGCTGTTGCTACACAGATGGAATCATAACTAACACTCTAGTAAAATCTGTTAAAAATTTTGTTCACAAATGTTTTATTTTGGGTTTTTTGTTTTTGTTTGAGAAAGGGCCTCACTATGTAGTTCAGGATGGTCTTGAACTCACTATGTAGCCCAAGCTGGCCCTAAATTCACAGTAATGCTCCTGCCTCAGCCTCCCAAGCGCTGGGACTGCTAGTGTGTGCCACCACACCCAGCCACAAATGTTTTCAATATAAATTTTCCAGATAATGTCACTAAGGCCACTTAATTTTACTGTCATACCGCTTTAAATCTGCTCCAACCAGGCACATCCCCACCACCTGATAGAATCTGTCTCGTCAAGGTCTATTTTATTAAAAAAAAAGAAAACAATGTGCCCACCACTGCTGATAGCACCCAATTAAGACATGCACAACCTCGTTGAAGATTAAGAAGTCCTGATATGAAATTACTATTTCACCCAGAAAGAAAAGAGACTTCGATAGACTTCATTTGTGTAGGTGGTATAAGTCTGCTATTTTATTGTTCATTTCTTCAAATGTAGGTTCTCCATCTTTGGACATTCAATCTGTACAAATAAGTTACTTAGAAAACGTGTTGATTACTAATGTCCAACAACATGCCAAACTACTCACACACACACACCCCAAAGATTATTACTTAAGTCCATTTCTTGATATTTCATTGTATCTTAAGTTTATATATTCAGGGGAAAGAGGAAAATAAGACAGGCTTTGGAGAAAAAGGAAGACATATGATAACAATGTAAAAGTAATGAATCCGGGCCTGGGCTGGGAATAAAGCTCAGTGGCACAACGTCTGCCAGGCAAGTGCAAGGTCCTAAGTTCAATTCCCAGTACCAAAAAAAAGGTAACGAATCCTTAATATGTTTATGATGGGGCCATACATGCATGACTGTCTCATCCGGCAGCTGTACCACTCAATGAGACAGTCATGCCCATATCACTGGCATTTCAAGCCAGCAGGAATGCGTTAAAGATAATCCTGATTTGAAAATGAGACCCCCTTTTGCAGGGGGGAGGGGACTGGTTCTCATTTGTCCTGTTTAATGGACTATATTAAACAGATCCTTAGCCCAAAATAAAACCTACAGCTATTTTTTTAAATTATCAAACAAAAGTAGTAGGTTATAAGTTTCAAGAAATAAGTAAGATACATAAATGTAGTAAGTTCATTTTTCTTAACAATTCTCAAATTAAAGGCTGGGGTAAGTTCAATAGAGCAGCATTTGCCTAGCATGCATGAGTTCCTGGGTTCAATCCCCAACACTGCAACAAAGAAAAATAAGTTCTCAAATTAACGTTGATTAAGGATTACAGCTCTATGCCTGGTCTCTGTTTTCCCAACTAGGCCTAATTAGGAAAGAACTGGTGTCAGAATCCTTGCTCTGCGAACATATTATACTTAATAAAAATCTTCAAGCTACCAAAATTTGTGAAAGGAGGAATATGAGACAGCAATACAAATTACCAAATGAAAACAAAGCAAGATCCTATCAAGGTTTTCAGATTAGAAAAAAGTTAACTTTACAAGAAATACAGCTTATGATCAGCATATGACCTACTACATACATATCCTCTATGCCTCCAGATGTACATAATAAAATTTTAATAAAATGACACCAGAGACTATCGGCTTGTAAATACTTATATTTCTCCCCCTCACGCACAACATTATATGAGACATTACTAGTTTTAATATGTATCCCTAGGATTAATACTCATATGGAGCATAATGTGGAAAGTGCAGAACTAAGTAAGTTTTATCTGAAAACAAAAGCACACATTTCTTAGGATTTAAAAATATTGCACATAATAAGGTTGCACAAAAATTACTGGCTGGTTTTACAAACAGAATGAGGTATTAGTCAATCTCTAGATAAAGATAAATGCAGAGGAGGAATTACACATACACACATAAACCCACATAAATTCGTATTAATACCTAGAATGACAACAACTAAGACAGAAATGTGAAAAGATTTGTTAAGTAGCTATGATTTCAACTCTATAAAATCAATCACTAGCCAGGGACTAAACACGTAACAATCTCTTGGCAATATTTTGGAAGTTTTCTTTTTTCACCTTAGTTGACCAACAGCAATATCATCATTTCCTGCAACCAATTCTGTGGCAAGACAGGGTTCTGTGGTAAACACCAGACCATCCCTTTTTAAAGCTTTCTGTGGCAATTAACCACTGAATGCTCTCCTTTGCTGACTCAATTACACACTGTCACATATATTTAGCAATCCAAATCACAGATGCCAGGGCATGCAATTTTAAATTAGCAAAGGTTTCACTGTAAAAAATCATTCAAGTTCACACAATAAATTTTAAGGTTAAATCTACTTATCAAGCAAACTCAATCGTTTTTTTCTCTTTTTTTAAGGACACATGGGGAAAAAAACCAGCCGAATAGTATCTTTTTTTAAAGGACCTTTCCTAATCAAGAAATAATTAATTTTTGTCTAAATCACTAGCTTAATGTTTCTGAATCTGTCAAAAAATTAAATATATAATAGTAATATCAAATTTCTGAGTAAAATCATGCATTTGTCAAAATATTTCAGAGAAAACCTTTCATCATAGATACTAAGGAAGAGTCAACCAGGTGGGTTTAGTAAGAACAGCAAAAGAAGGAACTACTGTCCTGAACAGTCAGTGTACGTAGTGACCATATTTCCTCTTCGCTGAGTGACAGTCCTGCAGTGCTTGCTAGATCCATGAAATCTATTTTCAGTCTGTACTGTGTGCCGATTGGTGGAGTCAAAGCCACTAAAAGAAAACATTTTCTCCATATCTTCAAACATGTCATCAAACAATCCACCTCCAAAAGAAAACTCCTGGAAATGATGCCTCTGTCTACTAGAACCATCTTGCCGTGTCTGGAAGTGATTTTCAAAATGCTTCTTAGATCGAGAGTTTTGGTTTTGACCAAAAATACTAAAGTCTTTAAATAAGTCATCAAAATTAAAATTAAAGGACTGCTCAAAAGGACTTCCACTACCTCTTTGTCCTTTACCATCAGTGAAAGCACTGTGTCCCAGTGTATCGTACTCCTTTCGCCTACTAGCATCTGAGAGTGTTTCATATGCTGAAAGAGATAAAAAATATCTTAGTAACTGAAAGTATTCAAAATTACATACATTCAAACCTCCTAAAACACTTGACTTCATTCTATTCTATATTTTAGGGAAGGGCTTCATTGTAAACAAAAGGAAAATACTACGAAGTTCTAAAACAAGACAGGCACTTCATCTTAATCCACCACTGTACAGATGCCTCTAGTAAACACCGAGTAAGTGTATGTTAAATGAATGCTACCATTACCACAAATAAACAAACAATTACAGAGTTCTTCAACCTTCATAGTATTTGTGTGAAACTATTATCTGAATTAAAGAATTAAATGGTCAAACACTGTATAATCCATTAATAGGAATTAAGATTTTTCTCTTCCTTACTAGTTGAAGTAAATGTGTAATTCCAACTCCCTAGTCAATTACCTTCACCTACAGTTATGAATGGTTAGAAGGTGTAATTCTTTGCAGAACTACCGTAGTAGTCTAAAGTCAAAATGTGTTTAACACTTTCCCCTTAAGGCATACTTGTGGTGTGCAATATAGAACAAATGAATAAGAAAACTGTAGAATCTATTTTACTGTATTTAGTAAAACAGTTTTGTAAGTTAATTGATAATAATTTTTCATTGCTAAATTCCTTTTTATAGAGAAACAACGGTTATTTCATTAATAACAAGATGAAATCATCTATTTCAACCTTTTTAGATCCGTTCATTCATTCAGGAAACAAGAAAATAATATCATTATGTACTATAAGTAAATCCTGCACCTTCCCATATCCATAAAACCAGCTAAGTCTCCTGACTAGTAATACTCAAGAGACCGCTGAAAGAGTTATTTATTTACCTTCTGCAATCTCTCGGAACTTTGCTTCAGCATCGGGGTTCTTATTTTTGTCAGGGTGATACTTCATGGCCAGTTTGTGAAAGGCTTTCTTGATCTGGCGCTCTGATGCTGATTTTGGCACGCCTAAGATATCATAGTAGCTTTTTGAGGCCAGAATTAACTCTGTTATCATTAAAATGCAGATTGCAAAGATGAAGACTGACTGGGGAGTAGCCATTTCTAATATCCTAAAAGAAAGAAAAAAGTTTACCTATAGAATTACTGTTAAGTAATTTTTAAAAGAAACCTAATTTCTTTTAATAATTTTTAAAAGAAACCTAATAAGCCTTCAGGATGAGGCTTTTACAAAAACACAGTTAACAGCCACAGTTACGCATGTCTGTACTCTTAGCACTGGGAGTCTGAGACAAGATCACTGTGTGGAGGCCAGCCTGCGCTACACAGTAAGTTCAAGATCAGCCTGAACTACACCGGGAAAACCTGTTTCATGGTCTCAAAAAAATAATAACAATACGATCTCGACTAAGGTTGAAAGAAAAATAAATACTTTGTACTTTACAGAAGTTTAAAAAAAAAAAAAAAAAAAAACCCTCCACACTAACAAACTATTTAAGCATATATCTTGTGTATATTCCATTGAATTGTTAGTGTTAGCGCTTAGTACTTGTTTTTTCTTTTTTTCAGATAGGGTCTCAATATTTAGTCCAGGCTAGCATTGAACTCACTATGTACCCTAGGCTGGCCTGGAACTTGCAGCCATCCTCCTGCCTCAGCCTCCCCTTAACACTTGTAATTAAGGTTATGTAACTGGAATCTGGTTTAACTGAAGTGAAAACTGAACTGGTGCTGTCTCAGCAAAGCAAGATTTCTACTAATTTAGACATCTTGGACTACTAAAGTAACGCGTATTTTCCCCTGCTAACCTAAATATATTGCCCTTAAAGAATATTTTTGTTCGTTCTTTGAAACAGGGTCTTGCTTTGCAGTCCAGGCTGGCTTTGAACTCCTAACAATCCTCCTGCCTCAGTCTCTGCTTACAGATGTGCATTACCAAGCCTGGCTACAGAATATGAATTTGTGAAAGGAATATTAAAAAACAAAAGAAATACTACATTTAAAATATTATTTGGATGTTTTTCAGCCGTGCTTGCTTATGATGGAGTCTTCAATATTTGTCACAACTAATTATTAGCCGGGCCTGGTGGCGCTCCCTGCACTCCAGAGGCTGAGGCAGGAGGATCGCAGGAGTTCGAGACCAACGGTGAGCTACACAGTGAGTTCAAGTTCTGCCTGAACTACATGGTCTCAAAAAAATAATAGTAATACGATCTCAACTAAGGTTGAAGGGAAAAAAAATACTTTGTACTTTCCAGAAGTTAATTCTTACTTTCAAACTTCTCAGTACTGTCCTTGAACTATTTCTTACCTATGTTTTAATTTAGAATGGAACTTAACCCCCTGATAATACATACTTAATGAAGTGCAATTCTAAGGGAGTGCGCCTGTTGTTTTTGAATACCGCACCACGGGAGTCCTTACTAACTTACGATGACACAGGCTGATGAAAAGGCACCACGGTTTGCGTTACCCGCCTTTCCCCCAGTGGGATTTTCCGGAGTAAGCCGCAGGCGCGCTGCTTTTTCCCTCCCGGAGAGGAGTTACTCAGAGCTGCCC